ACTTTGTTCTTCGTTTCTGTCCGTGGAGGTAGCCAACTCGTTTTTGGTGAACTACGTAGATTTTTGTCTTCTTTACGTTTGTTGTTTGTTATTCGATCATCAACTCTAATCTGTCACAATAGTATTTGTAGCATTGACAATATGTTTTTGAGTGATCACGACAATTTGATTTCATTAACATTGTTGATACATGTCATGAATATTAATGCCATAGGTTTGGTCTATAGCACACAAAAAATGCCACAAGATTTAAATACACATATCACCTAATAAACTTGAATCCAAAATACTCATTCCCAACTTTAATGCAAATTATATCAATTTGTGACATCTTTATGACTCTTATTGTTTGTGTCTTTTCAACAAACTTTACAATTCACTAATTTTTAATAACCCAAAGTCTCAAAAGAATAGGTCTCAATCCTATTGTTTCGTTTATAGCCATATAAAGCTTGTATACATTTTACAAGATCAAAATTGTAAAGTAATGTCATTTACGGAACTAAAATATGACAGCAAGCATGTATGCGTACATATATATATATACACGTTATCCCAAACAAAACGAACATACGTCATGGTAGGATGCTTTTATACGAATGTACAAATATGCTTTCGTAGCAATGTGTGTATGTATATCTTCAATAATCACTAGAAAGCATCACTTATTTATCGAAGAGATTATTAACATACAAGATTTGAATGCACATGTGAGTCGCAAAGTGGAAGTGTTAAGTCGTAGCTTTTGTTTAAGGCACGGGAGAAGCATCATCTACAATCTCCGCACTAGGCATCCTCGACTTAAAGGATTTTTTCAACCTTTCATCCTTAATTCTCTCTTCCATCACAGTTCATTAATATATTCTCGGCTACAGATCTTGCTTTGATACGGCCACGCTAATTTGACCGGATCAACCAATGTTATAGGGGTAACCAACATATATTTATACATATCTCAGCATACGTTGTGTTATATGCTGAGATATGTATAAATATATATTGATTATTGTTATAGCATATGCTGATTCAGTTAAATTAACTTGATCGGATGAGCGGCTGATCTATGCCCTATATTCTCTTTAATTAGATAATCTCATTCTTTATTTTATTTTTGTATTTTTTTTATTTTATGTTCGTCTTGCTCTCTGTCTCCCTCTCTTGTGCATAAATCAATATATTCTTGAATATATTCAATACCATGATGACTTGATATGTGAACGACCCGAGTCTAATATCATCTTGAATACTTTCTTAATGAAAAAATAAATAAATCTCACAAGAAAACTGATAGGAGATTCGAATCTCCCCTCGACATATATATATATATATATATATATGACTATATCATTAATAAATTGGTAACAGCTATTAAGTAAAACCATGTCAATCTATAATATAGATAGAAGCAGCTATTTGAAATATAATATATCAACAAGAACAATAAATTAGGCAATCAAATTAATAATGAGCGTACATTTTTAAAAGTAAAAGTTATAATTATAATTTTCAAAGTACAATTTTTTTGCCTATAAATAACGATTGATAAATTGGAAATCAACACACAAACACACCACACCTATTTCTTTTCTATATTTACTACAAGAATGAATCCTCCGTACAATTCATTTGTTGGTAAGATTTTGTTTATGGTAATAATTGTATTGAGCCTAACATTGATTGTTTGTGAAGCTCGGCAAGTCGAAGAAATTAGTAGTTATGAACATGGTTACAAGAATGATAAGTCACTTCTCGACGACAGTATAGGATCTCCGTCGCCCACTAGAGGAGAAACCTTGAAAGATAAAATTCGGGATTATTTTAAGCCTAAATAAGTTCTCAAATTCTACCCTAAATATGATATTTACGGTGAATTAGCTCCACCTCGACCGGTCTAGAATTGGCCGGAAGAGTCCCTAAGCTTCCTAAAGTTAACTACGGAAAATTCATGACACTCCGCGGCTTTAATACATCAATTTGTACCTAGTAAGTGATGAACAAACATGTATGTGTGAACAAACTATGAATACTTGTTATTGTCTTTAAAATAAATGAATGAAGTTAATTTACCGGTTATTTTGAGTGTGTTGTGAGTTCATGATTTATTCGATCTTTTATGGTCTTGCTGGAAAAATGGAGGTAGATGAATGCATTAAGAAAGGCCAACTTTTCTGAGCTCCGGGGCCTAGCTTGACCGAAATTTCTGAAATCACAAATGGTTTACACATAATGTTTTGTGGTTGTTCCGTAGTTATGTGTATGACCTATTTGGTCGAGTGCAAAATGAAACAAGAAAGACAAAAAGTTTGTTGAACTAGTACAAAAATTAAGTCTAAAATTTTCAATTCAAAATCAACATTGTTTACTTGGCACGGTTTTCAATAAAAATATAATATATTTTTTTATAAAATATCAAATCAAAATAGTATTTAAACAAAATTCAAATGAACACTTCATTTCAAATTAATTTGAAACTACAACTACACAAACACCAAGTATCAACTAGTTTTTCTTACAAGCTCTAGTTCCAGCAAATTGCTTATATAATTGAGAAAAAGATGAACATTAGTCTAAAATTTTGTTCCTAATAAACTCGAATCCAAAATACTCATGCCCAACTTTAATGCAAGTTATAAAGATTTCTAAAATCTTTATGGCTCTGATTATTTGTGTTTTCAACAAGACTTTATAATTCACTAATTTTTATGTTCCCTTTAAAGCATCAAATTGAATTCTTATTTTTTATTTTTTTCTCATAAAATATCGTATCGTATATTATGTTAATCAAAAATTAAAACCTCCAAACTCAATTCAAAGTGAGAAGGAAAAATCAAAAAAATGAAAAGAAAGAGAGAGTATTTGTTTCTTTACAAGTTTATGCATTGATTTTTACTATTTGGACTATATGTTTCCAAAAAAAAAAAATTTTTTCTCATAAAATATTACATCAAATATTATTTTTATGATAATAATAATAATTTTAGTTCGTTGTGTAGTGTTTGGAGTTTTGATGAGATTTTTGTATCATGATCCTGTCTATCTCGTAGTGGAAATATCCCCAGTCGTAGGCGAACTATAGGTAAACAAATGTATTGTTCGAATTGTTTCGTTTCATATTGGTGTGCATTCATAATCCAAACAACTCATGGATAACTTGTCTTAATAAGAAAAAACCTCTAATTTTTATTTAATATTTCGCTACTATATATATATTGATTGTTAGAATCTTGGGCCAATAATACAAAACAGCCTACTTAATCTTGGTCCGGAGGTCATGGATTCAAACCCCCGACACCTTGATTCGCCTAGTGTAACTTTCCCTAACCCAAAATATTTTTTTTAGAAAATGGCACAAGAAAACTGATAGTAGAGTTGTAATAAATTGGCAACACCTATTAGCAAAACCATATCATCTATAACACACTTAGAGGCAGCTATTTAAAATATAATATAGCAACAACAGCAAGAAATTAGGCAATAAAATTAATAATGAAGGTACATTTTTTTTAACAATAAAAATTTTAATTTTCCAAGTATAATTTTGCCTATAAATTACACTAGAAATCAACACACACATATATACACACATCGCTCATATTTCTTTTCTAGATTTACTACGAGAATGAATCCCCCATACAATTCATTTGTTGGTAAGATTTTATTTATTGTAATATTTGTATTGAGTCTAACATTGATTGTCTCTGAAGCTCGGAAACTCGAAGAAATTAGTAGTTATGAAGATTCTTACAAGAATGATAAGTCACTTCTCGACGGCAATATAGGATCTCCGACTCCCATTACAAATAGTGATGTCAACGGGGCGAGTTCGGGACGGGTTCTGCAGGCCCCGAGACCCGCTCCGCCAGGTTCGGGGCCAACCCGGCAAACCCGTTTTTTTTTATATAATAATAAATATTTTTTTAACAATCGAATACTAAAATAAATAGCATTAAAAGCCAAAAAAAAAAAAAAAAAAAAATCTAAGAGCAGACGACTAATTGAATTTTATATTTAAAATTGTTTAAGTAAATAAATAATATATTTTTATTATATAAATGTACATATATATTAGTTATAATAATTTTAAAAAATATCCGAGTTCGGGTCCGGGTCCAGGTTGGGGCGAGTAAAACCCGTAACCCGCCCCGAACCCGGACGGATTTAAAATTTTAAATCCACAACCCACCCCGAAACATATTATTTAGACCCGAACCCGTCCCATTAAGAGCGAGTCCGGGGCTAACCCGCCCCATTTGACATCCCTAATTACAATAGGAACTTTGGAAGATATCATTCGTGATTATTATCGTGAATATTTCCAGCCTAGCATTCTCGACCACATACCTTCAATTCCTTATTACGGCGGACAAGTTCTACCTTGGCCTAAAAGTGGCAAGGAGAGTCCCTAAGCTAAGCTTCATAAAGTAAACTTCAAAAAACTATGGGTGCTCGCCGGCTTTAATACATCAATTTATACCGAATAAGTGATGAACAAATATGTATCTGTTAACAAACTACGAATACTTGTTCTTGTCTTTAAAATAAATGAACAATAAGTTTAACTTGTCGGTATATGAATAAAGTTTACCTCTTATTATAATATGTTGCGGAGTTCACGATTTATTCAATCTTATGAATGCAATAAAAAATTGAATTTAACTTGGAGCGAAAATTAGGAAATCATTAGGGATGACAATTGGTGGGGTATGAGTCGAGTATAGATGGACCCAAAACCCTATCCATATGTATATTATTGGACCCAAGACCCTAGCCATATATATATATATATATATATTACTGGACCCGAGATTCTACCCAGACCCTTATGTATCTGGATCCTACTTGTTATGTACCCGTCAGACCCACCACACCAGTCAAATTCAAAAAATTTCAATATAAATTTGACTCGATCGACTTACCTAAAAAAAAAATTCAATCCAAAATATATATATATTGACTACCTATCTTGTCGAGATTAAGAAGAACACTCAAAAGAATTTCTAATCTCTCAAAAAATTTGTTTCTCTCTTTCAGGCTCATAGGTTGTCTTGTTTTCTTGCAATGCTATTCGTACAGAAATATATACGTTATCCCAAACAAAACTAACATACGTCATGGTAGGATGCATGCTTTCATAGGAATGTACAAATGTGCTTTCATAGCAAATGTGTGTATATATATCTTCGACAATCACTAGAAAGCATAACTTGTTCGTCGAAAAGATTATTAACTTACAAGAGTTGAATGCACATGTGAACCACAAACCGGAAGGGTAAGTAGTAGCTGTCTTGTTTTTTTAAGGCGCAGGAGAAGTGTCATCTACAATCTCCGCATTTGGCATCCTCGACTTGATGTGTGAACGAGCAGAGTCTAATATCATCTTGAATACTTTCTTATTCTGCAAGATTTGGTTAATAAACTTCGCGTGTTGAATAAAGACATGAAACGAGAGATGCAGAGGTCGATGAAAAGAGGTACATACATCGTCCATGGCAGCTGTTTTGATCCGAGACTGTAGGATACACCATTTCTTGAAATGTATGCCTGAGAGTTGTGTAATTTAGTTTATGTAACACGCATCAATATAAGTGCATTTAAGCTAATGTATCGTAGCAAAGTGATTTTTAAACCGAGCGCTCACTACAAAAAAGTATCTAATTAGCTACAATATATGTAACTACGAAATATTTTTGTAGTTAAAACGTGTCATTTAACAACATAAATTAATTTTATCGCAAAAAAATAAATTATGTACTACAAAATTAATTTTGTCGCTAAACTTTTTCTACTAAAAAACTCTATTTTCATAGTAAAAACGTTTTAGCTACAAAATTATTTTTTATAACTAAAATCATTTGGCTAAAAAAACATAGATATGTTGTTGCTAAAACTCTTTTATTATGAATTTTAATTTTATAGCGAAAGAGCTTTAGCTACGAAATCATATTTTCGTAGCCATATCTCTTTTTTTAATTTTCATCACAAAAAACCTATTTTTTGTTACGAAAATCATATTTGTCACCAAAGACCTTTTGTCGCTTATTATTTTGATATGAATTATTGCATTTTGCTAAGAAATTTTTTTGTAGCTAAATTTACCAAACATAACATCGACGCTGCACAAAGATTTCAACTTTCTTGTAGTGGCTTGATATATCGAATTGCACAAAAAGAACAGTATACAAAGTAGGAATTTACCAAACATAACATCGATCCTGCACAAAGATTTGAAGGTTGTCTCAATTGACCATCTGCAGTGAACCTGATTCACATAGCAATCAGCGCAAAATTACGACATATATATATATGATGGAGACCGTATGTAAAAGACAAATTTGGTCATTCATGCAAATATCATAGGAAGTTTCGCCATCTTTACAGGTTTCACTTTCCGGCTATTAGCAAACAATATGGAATGTCTTAAGAACTATATACCTCAAAATATGACGCAAACGGAACACCCTCTGTCTGTTGTATAATCTCAAACACCTGAAAAGAAATAATATGAAGTAAGTATATTGTGTAAACAATGCCACCAGATAAATAGGCGAAAGCATTATTTCAACCAGTGTCTTTTTATCCGCAGACAGGACTAGATGTTGCCACTCCGAAACTGGTATATCTGGAGGACACATTGGAAAGTTACATAAGCTTCTATATGTAACTTCTCTGACTTGGCCACCGAATTTTTCAGAGTCACGCCACCGACCCACCTAAAGTTACATATTAGGAAACTTGTTTTGAGCAGCGAGACAGTTTTAGAATTATATGTAATAATACATTATTAGACATGTAGCCCTCAAAGTAACAAGCTCTGGGTATTGGTTGCATACCTGGACATTAAAATCCTTCCGTGCAGTATGATATTCACTGGTGAAAGTTGAGGCGTCGTCTAACAGAATATTGAAGAATTGCTCCACTGTGCATGGGAAAACACTCTACAACATAATTTGCACCAGAAAACATTTCAAAGGAGTTGCTATAATTACATCTAAGATAAAAGAATAGAAGCATGCATACATCATATATTCTCGTGAGTATTTCTTCTCTAATGAATGGCTCGAGAATTTGGGGCTTGGCCAAACTTTCGTCTGAAACCTCAGGTTGGCATTTGCTGCCATCAGTGGAGCTGCTTTCTGCATTCTCTGCCTGCTCAGGTTTTTGCCGCTCCTTTACAAAATCAAGCAGTGATGGCTGCTCCTCCCTAATGTAATCAAGCAGCACTGGTTGTTCTTCCTTTTTTACCAAAAAAAAAAAACTTGTTTAAAAGCTTTATAGCAACTTTTGTAATATTGATATAGAAATTTGAAACAAAGGCAAAGATTAAACCTTCTGCTCAGCTTCCAACATGGCATAATAATTCTTGACTGCATGTTTTAAAGCTCTCAGCGTTTGACTCCTATTCCAGAAAGATGCAAATTTGTATCTAACCCTACCTGAAAGTGAGAATCGAATAAAATAAACACACTGCCATCAAACGGCTCTATACCATCATAGATCAACATATCTCAAAAGATCACAAATACAAGGCAAAGTGAGAAGCATCATGTATTCATGTATAGAATAGTGAATATATCCAGCAGTAGAATCTGTACAACTCTGTCTTAACACGTTTATAAATAAATAAATAAATAATTGTAAATTACAAAAGCTCCTGTCATATATGTGCAATAGATGGCCAAGCCAGAAAATCCAGGTATCAAACGCAGAGATTAAGGCTATGTTCTTTTGGAGTTTAAAATGTTCTGTCTTTTTTTTTTTTTTCTATGCAACCATAGCGATCCTCTATAAAAACACACTATTTCCTCTCAAAAAACATCACATCCAAACAACTATTCAAACTAAAAATTAAAACCAAACTCCAAAAGAATACACCCTAACACTTTCCATATGGTATGATACATACAAGGTTGGTCTACAGATGCCCATCTGTAGATACTTATAAAATAGTCATTAATCTTGTTCAGAAAAAGAGAATAGTAAACAATCAAAAAGGCAATAGAAAATATCAAATACTAACCGTCATCACTTCCCAAAGGAGTCATGGCATGCCGTCCAGCACTCACTTGAACACAAACTGTAATAGCAGGATTTATTAGAGCATGTTGACTCTTTTTTATCTGCAAAAGACCAACAAGATGGATTGAATCATGTTATACTTGAGTTAAAGAAAACTGAGTTAATGGTAGTAGAACAAAGACCCTGGAAGAAGATTTGTACCTGATCTATGTCTCCAATAGGTATAATTATCTGCTGCAACCAAAATGCAAGAATAAGAACAACAAAAAAAAAAAACAAATGTACAATTCAGTTGTTGTGGGATCCAAAGGGCACTAATCAAGCTAAAGAATTAGCATCTGCAATAAGATAAAACGCATAACCTAAACTTATTTTAATTTAAACACCAGTACTTATAAATATGTGACAGTGAGAAATGGATGTGTCTCATCTACAAGAACACTCCATGGAAAGGAGCAATCAAAAACAATAGAAGATGAAAGCTGACCTTCACTTGCTTCGAGAAAACATTAGAGTGGAAGCAGACGTGCCGGGCTGAAATATATAATCGTCCATGATATAAAAAGGACCTTTCAAGTGCACATGAATAGCTATGTTCAACAACCTGAAAAAATATAAAATTTTGCGATTGCGTTTCATACATAATTTTAAGGAAATAAGCAGCCAAAAATAAAACCAAAGCAAGGCTAATAACCAAGCATGTCCAAAGTACAAGTGTAAAATTTTGCCTCATCTGGGTGTAGATTAAAAATTGTTTGCAGAGGACCAAATTTCTGATGAAATGTCAAAGGTCCTTGTTTAAACAAAGTGCCCCTTTGAATTTTAGCACCAGTATAGCCATTCAAACCCCTAGACAGGAGAAGATTACACTGGTTTAGGAACCTTATCATACAAATAAATAAATAAATAAGCAAATAAAATAAAATTGTCTAGAAAATCATTAGATCATTCATTTTGGGGGAAAAAACAAACCTATTATATTGTAAGATATTACAGATCAAATCACACAACTTTTCAAGAAGTAAAGCACATTTAGCGGTGTGTCAGAAAATTAGGACCATAGCCCATTGAGCTAGGGATAAATTTCTCAAACTAGAACTCCAAATCTAGACAAGTTTTATATTCAGAAATCCTATTCAAACATCATATTGTTTAAGATATGCTGCAATTTCTTAATTTGGGTGTGACATCTTATATTTCATCTGCCAACCTTAAACCCTTTCAACTGTAGTTCCACTGCCATCCTAATACAATTAGAAACCTATACCCAAACTATTTGTAATATCTTCCCTTGAAACTTTAACAATACTTTTAAACATACAGAAATACCACAAAATTGCGTCTATAAACAAATCTAATTGCCTCTATTGCACTTAATTATTTTCAAACAAATCCATTGCATCTATAAAACTCTAACCCAACATTCTGGATGCTATTCTCCTTAGACTCAATCCCATCAAAAGTACTTCTCATCCTTTCCCATTTTTCCCAGCTCCTATTGCATGGCATCCACATCCATACTTCAATGCCCAAAATCAATAAATTCAAGAATGTCGTAAAATCATGTAGGCTGCCTTTATGGTTTTACAGCCACAATAATTTTACTTCACATCAAAACCATCGCCACAACCCCTCTAAGGTCAAGTTTACTTTAATAAATGGCATAATGGTCCCATATGAATATTTTCAGAGATTCTTTACATATGTATCGGATAGGAAATTAAGGTCATTACAGTATTAGGATGAATAAAAAAATATCATACCCATCCTAATCATTCATTCTAAATAAGGCCTCAAATGGGACTGCAAGAAGGCTCACAATCACATTATGACAAATCCCTATCTGTTGCATATATCAAGATTAGAGGCCCCTACATTGGTCAAATATGCAAAACTGCCAATTTATTTTACAGTGATATGGCAATAGTGTTAATTGCACAAGTTGAATCCACTTAACAACACAAAATATAATTAAGCAAAGAATTGCACATAAAAGTTCAAAATATTTGCATAAGACTATCATAAATACGTAGTAATCCCAAGTTGCAAACAAAAGAGTACTAAATTATAGGCTATAGCAAAAATGGTCTAGAATACAAAAGCAAGAATAACTACCTTGATATGTATAATTTGTCATTTGGAAACCTCTTAGAAGTTGACATCTGTACTGTGACTCCTGCTCTCTTCACATCTCCAACACATCGACCTCTTTCTCTGACGTCGATTTCTGCTTTTCTTGTCAGTGATTTTTTCTCATCAAAGCCCCTAATAGATTTTTCATATATAATTTATATGAATTGATTAAGTATCTACAGAATCAAACTTTACATTAAAAGGGAGAAGATTAGCAAGCATGCACCAAGTATTTATGACGAAATAAGAGATGAGAAGAAAATGGCGGGCTAGAATTAGCGGTCACTATAACAAGCTACCTGGATGAATCATTCTGATACTTGAGTGTGTTAATATGAAGACAGACCTGAAAAACAAACAGCTATTTCAGCCTCCCAGATGAAGGGAAATATGCATATCCATAAGTGAAAATCAATAGTAGTTGCATCTTAAAGGGAAAAAAAATATATACTTGGCCCGATGCACCATCCAACTTATGCCATATTGCACCGGTTTGACCTTCATGTTCAACAGAAACAGTCACTGACCCAAGCGTCGCACTTCTCTGAATTACACCTAATCCATAAACTGTCAAAGTAATCTGTGGCACAAAAAATAATAACAAATAAAACATATTAAAACATAAAATCAGTGGACAATAATTATCGAAAAACTATCAAATTGCCTCTTCAAGAATAATTATATAAGTTTCCATGCATTATAAGTACCTTCGCAGGAAGCTCATCAACAGAAAAATTGAACTCCTCCTTCCACATGGGACTTCTTGATCCAGGTACCCTAGAACTACAAGTTCCCAAATTAACTATTATACTATATCCAAATAAACAGGAATGATACAGGAAACAGAAATCATTCTAGAGGAGAAAACAAAGACGAAACAAGATGAAACAAACATCATAAAAGCATAGCATGCACTATTACAATAATTATATGCTATATTAGAGCAGCCAAAGGAGATGCTATTACCTTACATGATTTTCTCCTTGACAAGTTATAATTGCATAAGGGCCGGATGTTCCATTCAAATTGTCTCCATTAAGATTTTTTGCTGCTAAAAGCTCTACCTAAAACCAGAAATCTTATAGCAATGAAACAGAGTTCAAGGAAAGATACACACCAAATATGTGTGTATATATGCAGATGCAACTGGTAAAATCATAGCATAAACAAATGGAAACTATCAACTGTTGTCAATAAAACTACCTTAATTAAATATGCTTTACGAGCTCGAGAATGTCCTTTGAACAAGCTCATCTGCAAAACAAGCACAGAACTGAATGTCTCTAAAGATAAGATATATCCGAGAAACAAATAATTTAACAACCAATCTTCTGTGATAAAATCAAAGCGTGACAATGAGACCGACAAGCATAGTTGTCTTTGTACAACTTGGAACAGAATGTCTCCAAGGGAAGCCCCAAAAGTTTGTTCCCAAATGTCAAATACTTAGGTTTTGTGTTCAAAACCATTGAGACATGTGAGCATACTATACACAAAGATGAAAGGTTTAGAATCTAGGCTTGGGTTAACAATCAAATTATCCTACTACTTGATTTAAAATTCTAATTGTTGAAGTGTAGAATTAAAAGATTGAGGTAATCCTTCCTTTGGGAGATTTGTGTCCCGGGTGTGTGCTAATGTTTAAAAATAAAAAATAAAAAAAAAAAAAAAAGGATTGAGGTAATCCTTAGTTAATCTCCTAAGGATTTTCATTTAATCATGATAGCAGCAAATTTCTATTTTTACTTTACCGGAAATAGAAGAAAAACATAAAAAGATGATCAAGAAAACTAAATAAAACCATGCATCTGAAGTAACTGGTTCCGCGCAACAATTCCTAAGATAATTTTTTTGATCTCAAGTTAAATTAAAAACAAATAAACTAAAAGGTTCAATGTGAAGGGCAATTTAACACGGAAAGGGGTCTTAGTGATACACTTCAGTAAACTATCATAAACCTTAAGAGTGTTAAGAACATCATTTCCAATTGACAATATTTCTTAGAGAACAAAAAGTAACTATACAAATAAAGAAAAAAAGTAATAACAGGGGAGTAGCAGAGCAATTTTACTAAAAATTAGCACTTGAGCTACTACATGACATTTCTTATGTTATAAACAATATTATTTGAGCACACAGAATAGAAGAACGACAACTAGTTCATTGACACAGACATATTAGAGAGAACGATGAATATAACTAGTTAAAGTGTCTATCTATTCGCTCCTAAATGCAAACCATAGTCATAAAACCTTTCTTGCTTATATTTTCGATAGGCTATCTAAAGCAGCTAAAGCTTTTCATTTGAGCTAGTTAAGAGGTCATTTAAGCTAAAAGAAGTGGGGACAAGACACAAATTTCATCTTGTTGTGTACGAGCATTAGCTTTGCTCACAGCTCACTACATTATTAGTTAAGAAACTGGATTAATATTAATAAATTAAATATTAAAATAAAAATCTTGCTTATGGAGCATCCGCCAACGAACAAAAAACAAATTAACTAAAAAGGTTTTTCTTTCGGCTCGTGACTTTAACGAAAGAACACTAACGGAGCTCGAGCTCGAGCTCACTAGCAAACAGCACGAATATGGTCAATTTGGTGATCGTAAGCCTAAAATTGGTAAATCGTCTACATAGCATTAGGTTTCTAAAACCAATAAACGAAGAATATATATATATATATGTGTGTGTGTTTAACGTCCAAAAAAGACCTCATCATTTCCATCATTTGCATCCGCAACGGCCGACGACCTATCCACGGACTTCCAGTCACCAGCGCCGAGATCGAAGAACCAGCACGCTACCAGCACAAACGCAGTGGCAACTACCGCGACCTGCACTTCCCACAACGACGGCAACAGGAATTCCACCACAACCACCATATTTCCTCCCAAAAACACACCACCACGGAAACCGCAGCGCGGCGAAAATAGAACCGACGCAACAGCAACAGCAGCAGCAGGAACGGAAAAAGCTCGCACTACGACGCGACAACGCATTCAGCGCCTGCGTGGTGGAATGCATGATGACAATGATATATATATTGTGAGGGGAAAGCGAAGAAGGAGAAGAAGATGGAGGCGGAAAGTACAGTAGAATATTGAATGAGTGAATGAATGCTGAAAAGCAATGGCGTGGATTATTGTATTGATTTGATCGGCAGAACAGAACGCCTTTATATTGATTGTGCATTTATGAAATGACGGAAATGGGTCTGCATATGCGACGGGTGAAGGGGTAGACGGGGAAGGGCGTTTTCGGAAATCTGTTAAGGGCTTGATTAGTGTTTATATTTTTTGCGTGGTCCATAGAGGTAAGGTTGTGTTTGGTGTGGGGATGGAAAGTAATGATTGCGATGAAGCTTCAACAGTGCAAAAGTATAAAAATATGTTTTTTTAAATATATATATATTCGTTTGTTAATTTATTTTAAAATTTTATTAAACTATATTTTTCTGTCATTTAATTTTTTATTTTTATATTTTATTTTAAATTAAAATTTGTATTTAAAAGTGCTCTATAAAAATACTTTTTGACGATGGATTACAAGCTACTTGGGGCCAGGGGCAATGGCTTTATAATAATTACTTCATCTGGCATTTCACTGAGTATTCTCTTGATCAGATACGAATTTTTAAAAAAATAGATACAAATAAAAAAATTTACTTTTTTTTATAAAAGATAAATAAAAAAAAATGATATTTTATTACTAAAAAAATCAGAATAAATTTGGAAGACAATAAAAAATAGAGTAAATTATATAACACATACTTGTGTTTTACTAAAAATGCACAAAATACGAAGTGTTTTATTTATTGTGTGAAACCTCTGTGTAATGGAAAGTTTGCATGAAACATTCTCCTTGTCTAAAACTGATGTTTGGTTCGAAATAAATATCTAAATTACGTAAATTTTATACAAATAAAAAACAAATAAATTTTTTTAAATAAAATAAATAAATAAATAATTAATCGATTATTTATTTTTATAATTTTTATAAAAATCAGAATAATTTGTCCCAAAAACTATAAAATGAATGACTAATAAATTATTTATTTATTTAATGCAAAAAAATTATTTAAGATATTTTGCGCTTTTTATTTATATAAAACTTACGTAGGTATTTATTTAGAACTAAATATCAGTTTTAGATAAGAATGGTGTTTCGTGCAAACTTTACATTAACACAAGGTGTCTCACACAATAAATAAACACGGGATGTTTTTTTTGCATTTTTACTAAAACACAAGAGAGTGTTATATAATATACCCTAAAAAATAAATATTATTTGTTATAAAATTTTAAAATATATTTTTTACTAGATCATATGATAATAAAGTATTCATTTAATTTTTAAATAAATCTATATCCACTATATATTATAAATTTTGGCTAATTTATATTTATTTATATAAATATTATTATCACGGACAATACAAAAATAATTTTTATATATAAAATTATATTATCAACTATTATCGAAATACAATTATACTCCAAAAACAAATAGGCACTTATTAGCTATAGAAGAAATATATTTTATTTCTTCAAATATATACTTTTATATATTTTAAATCACATATGTAGATTTCTATTTCATTCGTTTCCATTCTAAATATTTTTTTTTATCATTTATATATATCTCATTCAAAAGTATTTATTTTTTATTTAAAAAAAATAATTGTATATTAATATCAAAATATTTTAAAATTTTTATTTAAATTATAAATATTTCATTATTAATGCAATTTTTTATATATAAACTCAAAAGATAAAAATATCAGAACTCGTTACACAAATTTACTAATCAATAAAATATTATTATTTTTTAATATATTGCAAAATTCAGAAAACCTCCAGGAGTATTATGTTGCAATTCAAACATTAATAAGCACTTATTAGCTATACAAGAAATATATTTTATTTCTTCAAATATATTTTTTTTTAATCAAATTATATTGAAATTCAAACATTAATAAATACTCCCTTCGTCCCGGATATCATATTCATGTTGCCGTTTTTGTCCGTCTCATCATGTTATTTTCTTTTTTTAAAAAATGATTACACACTTTAATCTTATTTTAAATTTTTAAATTTTAATTAAACTAATTAGTTATCTTAATCTTAATTTATATTATAGGATAATTATTTTTACTAATACATTCTTAATTATCTACTAATTATACCCCTTCTAAAATACCGTATCTACAGTGTAGCAGACACGGTACATGGGATTGAGGGAGTAGTAAAATTGAAATTCTAAGACAAAGGAGCATTTGTTTGTTTGAATTATTAGATGTAAAGAAAGCGACGGAAATGGCTAGTGGAAGCCACATATTTAGTCATCATTACCCCCGCATGAGTACGTTACATTTAATTAATTCTCTATTTTATAATGAACGTAATTTTCTATTTGTAACAAAAAAAAAAAAAAAAAATTGACCCAAAACTCTAAATTCGAATATAACATAATTTTTTAGGTCAGATTCACGTTGACCTTATTTAGTTTTAGATCATCCAAAATTTAAACAAATTAGACACGAAACATACTCAAAACTAGATTTACCTAAAACATTTCATTTTTTAATTTAATTTTTATATTATGTTATATTTAATATAATATAAATGTTATAAATAATAATAATAATAATAATAATTTCAGTTTAATCCGAAATCTGACCTGATTTTTATATTTTGAGTTATCAAGTCAACCAAAAACTCGACCAGAACACGAAAGGGTTTTTTTAGTTTGAATCAACCTGATTGTTTGCAAACTCGAATCTAAAAATTTCAAGTTGAACGAGTTGGACTTTTTTGATCAAATATTATTTAAACACTCCTTGATGCAATTATTTATATATATATATATATATTTATTTATTTTTTATGCTTAAATTACAATATATTAGGAATGTTTTATATGTGATAACAATTGATTCACAACAGTATTAGTGTATATATAATTGTTTTTTTTAAGTTTAATGTAATGATAGTTTATTAGTGCATCCAGACTATTTAAAAAATTGCAAATAAATATATTTATTTTAAATTGAAAAATAATAAAATAAATATATTGATATCTGACAAAATATTATTTCTTTTTCGTTTTAAGTTTTATTTTGAGAAAAAAAAATAGTATTTTTACGTCTTATTATAGTTGATATATTTTTATTTTTAATAAATTTATTAATATTAAATATATTTAATAAATATAATTTAATTAAAATAAACTTTTAATATATTCAAAAAAGAATTATTTCTTCTCTTTCTCAATCAACTTCAATTTGATTAAATTTACGTATGACTCATCAAATTGTGTTAATCTATATTTAAAATTTTTTATTTAGTTTATGCTAATTATAAATAAATCAAATTATTTTTTATTTAAATTATATTCAATTTTATTTTTTACAAACGAATATTCTTATTGTATATACTTTACTAAAAAAATAATATTTAAAATATTTAAATATATATACTAACTTTTTTAATTATATATATTAATTTTTATTTAAAAAATACTAACACTACCGTTCACATAAAAAAAATATAATAAAATAATATTATAATCTACTACCATTAAAATATATATGTTGTTGAAGGTTTGAATTTTGGGTTTATAAGTGTAAATGATAAAAAAAAAATGAATTTAAATAATTATACGTATGATATAAATAAATATGTATTCCGCTTGATGTTTTAAATATAAAATTAATATATAAGTATAATATAAAAAATAAAATATAAATTTTTTATTCGATGTTTTGATGAAAAAAAAATTAGTAAATGATACTCCTTCCGTCCCAGATACCATGTCCACGTGGCCGTTTCTGTCCGTCCCACATACCATGTCACTTTCTTTTTTTGGAAAATGATTGTACACTTTAATCTCATTTTAAATTTTTTAATTTTAATTAAACTAATTAGTTATCTTAAATTTAATTTATAATTATTTATATTATACGATAATTATTTTCACTAATATATTCTTAATTATCTACTAATTACGCCCCTCCTAAAATACTGTATCTACAGTGTAGCAGACACGGTATCTGAGACGGAGCGAGTAAAATTCAGGGTAAAATCTTCCAATAAAATACACACTTATGACTTAATGTTCTTCCAATGTGACCAAAATTCTCCCATTGAGTACAATTTTCTTAATCAAATTTCTTTAATTGCTTGGATTTCAATTTAGACCTTTTGATGATAATTGGACCTAATAGGCTAATAGATCATTTCATTTAAATATTCCAAATTCTTTTATATTTTTTTATTACACTATAATACAATCATAATGAGTAATGATTTGGTAATTTTTTATAATTGTAAAGATGAAATATGTATATATATAACACATGAGCATGAGCACCTATTTTTCATGGCATGTTTTGAATTAAATTAACATGTATCGTGTGTGGGTGATTATTATATAATATCTTCGTCTGCTTGTACGGATTTCATTTACTTTAAGCATGTTAGATATTTGAATATTAATTATTATATCAAAATATAGTAAAGAAAAAATTACTAAAATATTTTTCTTATAATACTAATAGAATGACATTTGTACAAAAAAAATTATAAAAATATAAAAAAATATTAAGTACAATGACGTAAAGATAAATGTTACCCTCAGAAGCGAACGGAAGAAATATTTTGCTATGTTAATATATTGAATTGCGATTTGAATTATTACCATTTTTTTATTTTTTTTGTTATTTTATTGTACGTTCAAATGTTATGGTACATATTTTAATAAAAATATATTATAATAAAAATTACTATAATTTTACCTTTTATAATAATAAAAAAAATATAAAAAAAATGTATTTTTATGTTGAAGAAGTAAATAAAAATATTTTTTAATGACAATTTAAAAAAAAAATAAAAATATATTTAGATTATGAATGAAGTATATTATAAGTTTATAAAATTTAGTTATATTTGTATTATGTTAATATTCACTAATGTTGAGAAATATGGGAGTTAGATAATTGCAAAAGAAACAAAATACTGTCACAAACTATTTTATTAAATCACACTGAGCCTATATATAGGCATAGTACACAAAATTTCAAATGGTTATTTATTAGATGACACTTGAGAAATGAAAGATAATATTTCAAC